CTCGTTCCCCAGAGATTTTTGTGGATTTTGGGATGTCATCATCAATTACATCTAATAAATCATTGCTGGACAACTCTGATTTCAAGTAGTCCAGCCGAAGATTCATGTTGGTTTTCAACGTTAATTTATAGTCTCTTTCAATCACAATCTGATTGTTGAAAACATCACCTACCATTACCTTCTTAAGCATCTCGACATTATTGCTGGAGTCAGGTGAATTGTTTTTCCCTAGATCCTCAGTAGATTTAGACCTATCGTCCACAGCTTCAAGATAATCTACTTTTCTCTTTTTACTCTTATCTTCTACTTTGTTAATAGGGAGATCAGGGTTAGATCTGTCGACTTTATTGGATTGTTGATAGTTCTTTTGTACCTTCAAGCGTTTTAGTCTGCACCTCTCAGCTTCAAGATTATTCTTCGAGATCTCAGCCAAAGTATCCATCATCTTGGAGACTCCTCCCATTGCAGCAGTCATCTGAGCAGCTGTGTTGGCTGGACGAGTAGAAACATCTTCGTTCTGTTCTAGTTGTCTCTGTTGTTGCTGCAGAATACGGTTGAATTGATAAATACTCGGCGTGTTTGCAGATATACGCTCATGACCTTGTACGTTCTCTGTGATGACGATTCTCTCACTTTTGTCCTCTCGATCATCTCACTTAGCTGTGAAATCAAACTCTGTAAATTATCACCTGAGTTTCTCATGAAACATGGTGTCGGTTCGACCATCTATCTCTTTCTCTAACTCTTGAAAAATTGGTTCAAAAATTTTCACAGTTCTATGTACCAACATTGTACTTTTTATTTTGTGAATTAGATGCAAACTAGGCAGCTCGAATACAAGAGAATATGTGGTAACCACACTTGGAGAGAAAAATAAATAAGACAATGTCTTACCCTTGTCTTCTTCACCTGAATCCTCTTTACTACTCTCCGATTCTCTCCCTTTGGCGTCTTCTTGCTTTGTATCCATTTCTTCTTGATTCTCTTGATCCGACAAGCTCTGAATAATATGTGTCACTCTCGTATCCTTCCAAGTGAAGGATACTACCTGTTACCTCCTCAACCTCCAGATTCTTGTCTGCCATCTATTCCAGATTTCAGAAACAAACACTCATTAAATTATTTTTATTCATATTTATATTAAATCACTCAATATTTGGCTCTAATGCTCTTTCATAAATTTCCTCTAATACCAGGTAACTACTACTTCTACTCTCAATAATATGTAACTATAAATCGAGTAGGGATGGAGTGTTCATTTGTTTCGTGCTTCTAAGTCATAACCATGACACAGCAATGGACAATGACTTGAAACAGAGAGCTGAGTTCCCCTGCAGCACTCGCATGCACGTGCACACCATTTTCTGAGTTTCCATTTTTCGCACGGCAAAAAAATTTGGTCAGAGTCGGTTGATCAAGCACACGTGCACGGCACATACATAGATTCTCAACTCCCTTAGACAACAGAATTCAAAAGCACCGCGATTTATTACCCAAATGTTGCACTGGAATTTTATATGTTTGCATCGTGGGATTTTGATGTATATGATTCACAGAAAAATAAATCCTCGGTCGTTTCTATTTCTCTTTCTACTCAACTCTCCCATCGGTTTTGCGAGTGAGACGGCACCACTGTGTGTGGACAGCCTCGTGGTCGGCAACGAACAAGTTCAAACCTGTCGATCGCCAATGGACGCCAACGTAACCGTTTCCCTCTCAATCTAGTTCACTTCTAATTTTCATTTCTATTTATTTTCACTTCTAGTCAAACGTTTGAATTATTTCTTTATTCAGATAAATGTACGAAATTCTTTAATTTTGTCGACAAAAATGGATTGAAATGTACTCACCTCTAGACTTTTCTCTCAATGCTTCCCGTAGTCGATCACTCTGCTTTATTTCACCCACTCGTTATTTTTTCGGCCCAGTTAAACGTCCCTGATGCCCATAACCTATTGGACGAATGGTTTGGGAATGCAGGTGATCCACAAGAATAAATGCAGCGATGATTAAACTCTTTATAAAACATCTATTAAACTCTTAGGACACTCGTAAGACGGTTACAATCGGTGATTGTACGCGAAGTGGAGCGCAGTGAGGCCGCGTGCCTCGGACCCCCGATAGTTACCATGACACCCCGCCGGGTGGCAGCACTTAAAAGCGCGGATTCAACAAAACCATTCTAACATAAACCGCTCTCCAGTGCAGAGCACAATGAATCGTAGATTAGTCCCTTTCTCGACATAAATCTATGTCGAGTAGTTTTTGGACAATAATAAAAGAGCTATGATCTCCAAGATCTCACTGTTGTCCCATCCCCAAATCTCCATCCTATAGAAGTATCCTGCTTTAGCCAGAGTGTTCTGCAAATACAGTCATCTCCTCAACGAGCTGCTCCCCGTCCTTTTCAAGAGACCGCAGGTGGTGTTGATCAGCCGCTGCGCTCAAACAAAAAAAAGCAGCCGGGGTCATCTGATCAACATGGCGATTATACCTAAAATATCTACTTTTTATCTGCCATAATTCTGCGCTAACCCAAAAAACTGCTTTTTTTATGTAAAAAAATCGATTTTAAGAAATTGATCATCTAGCTGGGCAGCCAACTTGCTTAAAAGGGACCGATGAGTACAAAAACTTAGTGTCAAATTTATCTGCTCTATTTCGGCGTAAAAAAGTTGCAAAATTTTGATTTATAACAAAAAAACGAAATTTGGGTCGAAACCGCGGATGAGTCCGAAGTTGTTTGAAAATAGTGGGCGGGCATAGGAAAATTATCTGCTCTTTAACTGCTGCATTTCTGCGCAAATCACCACAAATCTGCTCCTTTTTTTCGGCGAAAAAAATCGATTATAAGAAAGTGGCCGTCTAGATGAGTGGCCAACTTGCTTAAATGGGGCCGACGAGCACAAAAACTTGATGTCCGATTAATTAGCTCAATTTCTGTGCAAAAAAATTGCAAAATTTTAATTTTTAACAAAAAAAAACATTTAGGCCGCAAGTAAAAAAAAACCTGCTTCTTTTTTTCTGCGAAAAAAATCGATTTCAGGAAATTGGCCATCTAGCGAGGCGACCGAGTTACTTGAATGAGGCCAATGAGTACAAAAACTTGATGTCCGATTTATCAGCTCAACTTCTGCGAGAATATAAATTGAAAATCATTTTGTCCAACAAAAATATATAAAATTAGGTAACTCAGAAGCAGAGGATATGACAGTTCATTGAAAATAGTGGGAGGGCATGACAAAATTATCTCCTTCAACTTTGCATCCATTGGAAAACTTTTGCTGGATCACAGAATAAGAGCAAAAAATTTCTGATGAGTTTTGATAAGAGCAGAAAATTCCTATAAAGTTTGAGATGGGAGCAGATAATCGCTAATGAGGTTTGGATGAGAGCACGAAATCCCTAGTGACGGCTAGATGAGAGCAGAAAATACCTAATGAGTTTTGGATGGAAGCAGAAAATTCCTGATGAGTTCTGGATGAGCGCAGAAATTTTTTAATGAGGTTTGGATGAGAGCAGAAAATCCATAATAACTGTTAGATGGAAACAGAAAATTCCTAATAAGGTTTGGATGAGAGTACAAAATCCCTAATAACTGTTAGATGCTGACAGAAAATTTTTAATAAGTTTTGGAGGAGAGCAGCAAATTCCTAAAAGGTTTTAGATGGTAGCAGAAAATTCCTGGTGAGTTTTGGATGGGAGCAGAAAATTTCTATTGAGGTTTGGATAAAAGCAGAAATTTTATGATGAGTTTTTAGATGGAGGCAGATAATTTCTCATGAGCATTGAAGGAAAGCAGAAAATTCCTAAGAAGTTTGAGATGGGAGCAGAAAATCCCTAGTGACTATTAAATGAGAGCAGAAAATTTTGGATAAAAGCAGAAAATCTCTGCTCTCCTCCGCCACTCATTAAAAGTTTTCTTGTAACAGTTGTTACGAATTTTCTGCTCTCATCCAAAACTCATCAGGAATTCCCTGCTCCCATCTAACTGACATTAGGAATCTTCTGTTTCTATATAACAGTCAGAACGAATTATGTAATTAGAAATTTCTGCTTTCATCCCAAAGTCATTGTAAATTTTCTGCTATCATCCAAACCTCATTAGTGATTTTCTGTTCCCATCTAAAACTTCTGAGGAATTTTCTGCTCTCCGTCAATACTCATGAGAAGTTTTCTGCCTCCATTTAACAGTCGTTAGGAATTTTCTGCTCCAATCAAAACTCATTAGGAATTTTCGGTTCCCATCTAACAGTCATTAGGCATTTTCGGCTTCCATATAACACTCATCCAGAATTATCTGCTCTCATCTAAAATGAATTAGAAATTTTCTGCTTTCATCTAAAACTCATTGTGAATTTTCTGCTCTCGTCCAACAGTCATTAGAAATTTTTCGCTCTCATTCAAAACTCATCAGGAATTTTCTGCTCTTATCTAACAGTTATTAACGATTACTTCCTACTAGAAACTCTTCTCCTTTGTCGAGAGTCTACGCCCAGCTCAATTGATAACTTTCTTTCTGAAAAAATTAATGTCATGAAAGAAATTTCATTTTGAAAAAATATAATTGCAGGAAAATTCTATATATACTATATTTACTATGTGTCCTGAAAAGACTCCCTAACAGTTGCAGACGATTTCCGTAACTTTTTCCGGATCCGAGAGAATGGAGCAATCGAAAAAATTATACTGAATTTTCTCTCCTTTAGTCATTTAGTTAAAATTATTGTATTCACATCTTTAGAAATAGCAGCACGTGGGGCAAAATAGACTTTTTCGACAATTTTTGAAATGTTAATGATGCATTGAACTTTTTATGAAATGGGATAGATTTTTTCCTGTGGACAGTACATTTTTCGTTTTTGTTTCGAACCTAGATTGCGTTCAATTGATTGATTTATTCCTAACACATGAATATTAAAAGAACAGTTAGGTGTGTCGATTTTGCCCCATCCTCTCGTATTGATGTAATAATTACACTACATTGATTCCAATTTTAGCACCAACTATTAAGTGATGATGAGGAAAACGTCATTATTGATCATCTGAAACAAGTAATTCAGGGACCAAGTACAGCAGAACGGAGTTTTTATATGTTGGCTGCTGCATCAGATCTTCATCACTTATTCACTGAAGCTAAAAAGGAATTATCCAGGGCGAAAATGAAATGCATCAATGTCCAATTTATTAAAAAATTTACAAACCGCATCGATGAGCAGTACTTGGATCTCTCAAAGAAATCCATCTCATTGTACTTGAAAAAACTCGAATACTACTTCATGTGGATCCGTAAATATGGGGAACGGATGGTTGAATCCAAAATTCTCCAATCGAACTGATGACTAAAAATACTTCTTATTTGTATTGATGATGTCCAAATACTTTTCGCAGCTTGGTACCAAGTGCATTATGGCTTCAGACCTTTTTAGTTATCAAATTTATCAATTAAATTGCGTGAGAGAAATATGAAAAAATTATTCAAACTGCCGGAAAATGTTGTGCATGTAAAATTGATTTCTAGTAAAACTTTGAATGTGGACAAATTTGTTATGATTAAAAAGAAATATTTTTTTAAGGTACAAAAGTGATTGTTTATCAATGATTCATGAAAACAAAGTTTTCATTTTAGAAAATTACAATCTTTCACTTATTTTAGAATCTTTGTTCCCAAGAAGACGTTCTAATGTTTTCAAACTTCAAAAAATGGACTGCATTACCCACAGGGAGCCCTTCTTCCTTTTCATGAATTACACTCATCAAGAATACAGTATCCTCTGTTCTTCATGGTCGATCCTCTTTTGAGGTTACATAAAAAAGGAGATAATTTAGAAAAAAATTGGTATATAGTTTGCATTGATGGTGCTAATGTGTCAATGAGAAGACGGATATATTTTTTTTTGTCTCGACAAAAGTTCGATTATCTTGGGATATGATTAAAATTCCTTTGGCGCCACGATTTAAAATATGTTTTCCGTACCATTTAAAATACTTTAAAATTGAAATAATTTATCTTGGAAAGGTGGCGCCAGCTCCCGGTCCCACTGGGCTTAGGCCCTTGCATATAACATATATTCGTTATGGGGAGACTAGATCTTGCGCATGCGCGGATCTGCTCTCCATCAGGTTGTAACTTCTGAGAGTTCACTCTACTGCGAGACGCAAGACGTGTTGTCGCCAATAAACCAGTGTTCTAATAATAAAACCCGTGTACCATTTATTGTATCCACACCCGCCATCCAACAATTTAATATAATGAAAAAATTCTATCTCAATAATTTATTTGGACATTCAATTTTCAATTGTTCAATTTACACAAAAGATCACACAGGGTCACAACGACACAAGAGTAGCAAGGATCACAAGAGATCACATGTCTCTATGTCTTTCTCATTTCTTATGTCTTTCTCATCTTTCTCATTTTTTTGTATCTATGAAGCTTAGGAGATTGTTAGGGAAATTCGGCATAAGTTCAGTGACCAGAGTTACTAATAAACTTTCACGTCTCTTCGGTCCCACTAAGGATAAACTTGACCCGATGGTTAAGTCACAGTTGATCAATAGACTAAATTGTTCGGACTGCGGTATGGCTTACGTAGGCCAGACGATTCAATACCTCAAAGACAGAATTTATCAATATAAGTACAGTGTGAGCAAGGTGTCTAATAATGGGCGCACGGCCCTTGCTAAACATGCGCAGGAGCTACAGCATTCTTTTGATTTTGATGAAGTAAAGATTTTGGATAATGAGAATATGAAGGGGAAATGGAATTTATTGGAGATGTTCCACATTAAAGAAGTTTTGAACACTAGCGTAAATTATAGAACTGATGTAAAAAAACTTTCGTCTATTTACAATTCACTCATTTATAAATAGTTAGGTTTTCTCATTTCGTACTTTGGCGCCGACATGAGCCAGTTGGAGGGGGCTGAGGGGGGAGTTGAGGCTAGTGTTGTGTATAACCCTGGTTATACACTAGAATTCTAGTAACGCGCTAATGGCGCTTCATTCTCGCGGTAAAACATAGAATCATATTTGAAATTACAAAAGCGAATTAATTGTGGGAACAAATAATCAACTAAAATTGAGCGTAAATAAAAATAACAAAATCGAGAACAGAAAAATTACAAATTGAGTATGTGGCAAATGAAAAAATCCGAGACAAACAATAGCGAGAGTAATAGCCCCGAAAACGTTTCAATATTTTCTCTCGAAAATATTTTTAATCCCGCAATAAAACCTCCACTTTAATTTTCGTTCGTCATTCGAGATCCCAAAACCCTATCATAAATTTGTTGATTTTACTTTCCCGACGACATCCTGGCACCCACGAATTTATTTTCCGTTCCAGTAATAAAGCTATTGTCCTTTTTTTTGTATAGTTTTGATACTAACATGAAGACTCCACGTACTCTACGAGTTGTCCTAATCCCGTCGTAAAATACCCTCCTAAAGCCATTGACAAATATTCTACACTCCAAAATTCTGTCCTTCCTCTCCTTATTCTCTCTCCCCCTAAACATCTGGAAAATGTCTTTCCCTTTCTTTTGTTCCTCGGCGCCACGATAAACCCCGGAGACCCTTCTCTCTCTCTCTCTCTCTCAAAGATTTTCGCCAGGGTCTTCCAAACCTCCCTCCCCCATTTTTGCGTGCGTTTGAGGCCCAGCGCCACCGATGACGTGGCTAGAATAGGGATGGGCCTAAGCTAGAACTTGTGGGGGTGTAACTACGCCCTCCACCTAACGTAGAGCAACCTCATTGGTTCCCTACCCTTATGCGCCGGTGGAAACTTAGTGTTAAGAAAATTCTGTGAAGTAGCCTAAAGATAAGAAAGTAGTTGTAAGAGCACTCCTGTCTCATCGAGCAAAAAGAGAACATCTCTTGGAAATTTCGTCGTGTCTCAAGTGTTTTAATTATTTCAATTAACCGTTACAAGTTTTTCACCTAAATTATTATCAAATTATTATCAAGTTTGTCACCTTCATCATTTAAAGATTCCCGCTTCCTACGAGCAGAGTGCTTTAGCGCACCACGAGCAACTTACTCACTGCCCTGTAAAAAGTCTCTAGACTAAAAAAACCCACATACAACACTTGTTATGTCCTACCGAAGTAACTAGGAGGACAGTAGCGTCAATTTTTGACTGTAGATTCGTTTGCCGCCAAAGCTCTGATGAGCACTCCATCGAAGTCCAATTGTTTAATCCCAGAATATTTGGTTGGAAGGGTTGAATTGTGAAATAAATTCAACACAAGTGCTTAAGAGAGCACACAAACACTTTTATTCAAAATACTTCAACTTCAGACTTTAAACTTTGCACTACAAAAAAAAATGAATTTAATAAACTCTAGAAAAACTCTACTGAAAAACTATTTGAAGAGAGAAGCTGGAAGCTGAAGGCTTCACCACCAATTTCCACGATGGAACTGACTTAAACTTAAATTTAACTCCAAGGGTTGGGTCCGCAACCCCACCGGACCAAAAGTTGCGCGCGCAATCCTGGCCCAGGGGAGAGGGAAAAGTGAAACTCAAGGAAAAGCGGGGAAATGAAAAAAAAGGGGAAGAAGGGGAGCGTGTGACGTCGTGAAACTTCGTCGCGAAGGGTCTCAGGCCCTCAGCCTAGCGAAACAATGAACAATGGAGAGCCCACACGTGTTAGTCACGTGAAACAGAGAACCTTTCGAAATAACCAGAACTGAGATTTTACGACATGGGACCGTAACCGTTAAATTTATTTTCTTCTCTAAATTTGGATTTTCGAGGAAAGTGTTTACTCAACGAGAATTTGGAGGGTTGTAAATTATAAGAGCAAAACTCAAGTATTTGACATTTACTATTTCCGTAACGGTTTTTCTCACGCTTGCGATGCTGTTTTTCGTTCTCTTTGTCCATTGTATTCCAGACTTTCTTTATTCTTCTATTTCTGGTATATTTTTAATTTCCTGAACTATTTAAATTATATTCCAACAATAATTTGAATCTCGCGGACTATTATGGCCGATTAATAGCGCCATCTATAAATTTCAACGTCAAGACATCACACACTAGGCGAATTGAGGTATAATCGTTGTGTTGGTCATGTAAATCGGTCCATTTGGACTGGGCGGCAATTTGTTATGACAGGGGCGGGAGGATTTATTGTAATGTTTTTATTGTGATACGGTAGTTTAAATATTTTTGGAACAGATGTTAATGCAATAATTGAGGCTAGTCGGTTCACTGAATGGTGTTTTATTCACGTGGGATCCATTGAGCGGTCTCGGGGAGGTTTCTCATGCAATTTATCTATGGGTTTTGTTCTAGGTTAGATCTGTCATAACATTACTCATGGGGGATGTTGACCGTGGTTATGTGCCAATTTATTTAAGAATAGGTATTTAGTTTTTTACTGGTTTCATAGCCTATGTATTTTCTGTATTTTTACTCCGCTTTGTAACTGCCCTGGCGATCCAACAACGACGGTGTAGCGTCGTTGTTCCGTCGTTGATTTTAATTGTCGATTTTGGGGCTAGAAAAGAGGGAATGACCCCTAAAAACATTATAAAAGTTGATATATGAGGTATTTATTCATATTGGTACAGTTAATTCCATTGTTATTTATCAATTGGATGAAATAATTTTTAGTGTTAAGAGTGATGATAGAAGCTTGTAGGGGGAATGCCGCGAGATGGCAGTAGCGTCAATTTCCCGCTCAAATCGGTAAAGTCGACAGTAGTAGTACCCAGGCCGGTCTGACCAGTCATCTGCCGAGCTAGTTAACGGATGTGCAATGTTGCCGCATGTCTTGTTATATTATTTTAGGTAATCAAAAGTGCAAAGAAGATAGGAATTGCATCGGATATATTTTCGTATGATTAACTTTAGATAATAATGATTATTTTTACATTGTTTTAATTTATTTTATAATGTGTTTATTAGGGGGGGCATGATAATACAGAGTTGCAAATTCTAGCCAAGGAGAGGGGATTTCAAAATCTATCTGAGCCACCCCTCATCCCTCCGTTCGCATGCGTTAATTAAATAAATTAAAAAATTTCGTTAATTAAGATTTCACGAGGGGGTAAAAGGCGGAGGTATGATGGCGGTCGGTTGCAAATTTTACTCAACAAGGGGAGAGGTTGTCAGAATCTGAGTCAAAAAATGCAAATCTCGAAAATTGTGACTGCGAGGGGGGAGAGAAGGGGGAGGTTCAGCCGCGGAGGGTTGCAAATTTTAGCCAACTAGGGGAGGGGGTTCCTGAAACTGACTCAGCCACCACCATCCCTCTGTTCGCATACGTCATTTAAATTAATTAAAAAAATTTTGAATAAAAAATATAAATCTTTGTTAATTGAAATTTCACAAGAAGGTGGAAGGGGGAGGTATGATGGCGCAGCGTTGCAAATTTTACCAAACAAAAGGAGGGGGTTCCAGAATCTATCTGAACTACCCCTCATCCCTCCGTTCGCATGTGTTAATTAAGTAAATTAAAAAATTCTTGGATGAAAGACCGAAATTTCTTTAATTAAGATTTCACGAGGGGGCAGAAAGGGGAGGTACGACGACGGAGGGTTGCAAATTTTAGCCAACAAGGGGAGGGGGTTCCAGAATCTATCTGAGCTACCCCCATGCTTCCATTCGCATGTGTTAATTAAGTGAATTAAAAAATTCTCGAATAAAAAATTGAAATTTCGTTAATTAAGGTTTCACGAGGGGGTGGAAGGGGGAGATACGACTGTGGAGGCTCGTAAATTTTACCCAATAAGGGGAGGAGGTTGCCGAATTTGACTGAGCCACCCCATGCGTTCATGAAATAATAAAAAATGTTAAATAAATAATGAAAATCGCGAAAATTGATAATTTACAAGGGGGTGCAGGGGAAGGTATGATGGCGGAGGGTTGCAAAATTTACTCAAAAAGGGGAGGGGGTTTCAGAAACTAGAATAGAATAGAATAGAATAAAAAAGTGCGGCTGGTCACTTAAAGCGCCCAGAGTCACCTAAATCATACGATCTTTTGTAACTTCCGCCTTAGTTTCGGTCAGTCACACAGCCCCAGCCCTGTGTTTCTCACTAGGCTAATAAGGCTGGTGACAGCCGCTTGTTGTAAGTCCTCTGGTTTCAGGAAAGCCTGGCCCCAGATTTTATAGCGACGGAGTGCTAATAGGGGGCATTCACATAAAATGTGGATGACGCCCTCCTT